CATTACCGTTTATGTGAGAAGATCACAATGTGAAGGAATTAGGAAAAGTAAAGATGTACTGTAGTTTTATCTAGATAACTACTAATGTACCAACTACCTTTAAACTTGTTAGTTAATTAAGGTAAAATGTGATATGATTGTAACCATACTTGATCGACCAGTAAAACACGACGTTCTAGACGTCGAAATGATATGACATTCGTCACCCGTAGACCTGCAGGTCCCACTGTAGCTAGCAGCAAGGTGTAGGAGGTTCAGTCCCGTATAGATCTATACACAAATTCACGCTCTCCTTCCAGGATACTCTGGGTACAAAACGTGACGCAGCAGTATATTGCCGAACCATGAAGTAGTATCTCACATTAATGTTATAGTATTCTTGTATTTGTATAGTATGTACTAGTGTAGTGTATGTTCTCTCTGTCTAGTATGTAGTATGTTTTCTAGTGTATAGTGTGTAGTATGTATTGTTTCTCATTATAGTATGAACTGTTTCTCTTTATAGTGAGTATTGTCTCTCGTTATAGTATTCTCTATCTGTTTCTCTTTATAGTGAGTATTGTCTCTCGTTATAGTATTCTCTATCTGTTTCTCTTTATAGTGAGTATCGTCTCTCGTTATAGTATGCTCTATCTGTTTCTCTTTATAGTATGTTTGAACTGACTCATGTATGAACTTACTCTTGTATGTTTCATTGTTCTAGAAATAGTATTAGTGACTTCCTAAACTATACCTATTATAGTTTACTAGCAATGTTGTTTGTATAAATGAACATGTTTGTATACCTTTGCTGCCCAAAGGTATTGAACTAATAGAAGAACTTTTATATCTATATACATATACATAATATATAAATAAGGTTAAAACGACCTTTGGACAAATAACCAATACCCTACGTCCACAACCAAACAAGTAACAGGAAGTAAGGCGAGTTATCAGTCCTAAGTCCTTTCAATCCTACTTATATAACTATATTTATATAGACATGATTTTGACAAAGTATAAGTATTAAAAGAGTTTAATAGAAAGTATTTAACATGTAAAAGAGTTTATAAAACGATTTGAAGCAGTTTGTTTGATAACACGGTTTGAAATGTAACAAAATCCATTTGTTTGATGGTTATTAATCACATGTGATTGATATAATAACTATAATAGTTCTACTTGTATTCCCCCCCCCCCATAAAAGCATTTAAAATCATTTAAAAGATAAGTTAAGGGGTATGAACTCACCTGCAGTGAGTGATACGAATGAAAGATCGGTTTGAAGGATGCTAAGTGTCAAGTGAAGACTTGAGCACAACGGATCCTAATAAGCATATAATGACACATATATGTATATAATTAGTGTTTATACAACTAATTATGTAAGGAAAACACCCTAGGACTTAGGAAACACTTAGATTGAAGTGTTAGAAGTACAAAGGGTTGCATCTAAGGGGTGTATGGCCACACTATGGTGTTTACGGCCAAGGTGTTCACGGCCCTTGAGTTTACAGCCATAGGGTTTACGGCCCTATGAGTTTATGACCGTAAACTCATGAAGTCTTATGCCAAAGAGGTTTTTTAAGGCCCTAACAAGCATCAAGGAGTGTTCTAGCTTCAATGCTTAGCTTAAAGAAGAGCTTAAGTCCAACTAGAAGCCTTAACAAGGGTTTACGGCCAAGGGAGATGCTCATGGCCATAAACTCTCATGTTTCTTGGGAAATGGTCGATTTCAAGGCGTAAATCAAAGGTTCCTACTAGATAACAAGTATAGGAAGAGGATACTTACAATATGGAAGCAAAAATAGTTGATTTCGGCCCAAAACACTAGTGTGTGTTCTTGGTGTTCTTGGTGATCTTGAAGATCAAACCCAAAACATAAAGTTAATGGATGAAATCAAAGGATGATACTAGATAATGAGTTGTATCAACAAATCAAAGGATGAAACACTTACATTTTTGAAGAATAAAATGAAGATCCTTATGATACTTGAGAGAGAAATCGAGTTCTTGAGGTTGAAATGGTGAATAATGAGGAAGAAATGGTGGAATATCATGTTTAAGGCTCGAGTTTACGGCCACCATGAGTTTACGGTCGTAAACTCATGTGGTGTGACCGTAAATTCCACATGATGAAGTTTATGGCTTGCTTGGTGCACAATGGACTCAAGCAGATACTTCCTAACACTCATTTCTTGGATGTACTAGGCTTAAAATGCTCTAAATGACTCTAAATGACTCTAAATAATGCTAGAAGATAGCAAAACGAGTCCAACCTTGACTGATTTGAATAATTATTCAAGATAGGAATTTCGGGTTGTCACAGTACATAAACTAAACATTAAAATAAGTTTATAACACCAGAAAAGATAATGAATCCCAAAGTTAAGAAGTTAAGGTTATGAAAAACCCTAGAACTTAACCAAAGAGTAAAAGGAATCATTGCTTGAGGAATGAACTAGGAAGAGAAACATTATAATCAACTAAATAAAAAATTATAATAAAAAAAACATATTTTATGAACTTTGTACAAACACTAACATTAATAAAGAAGAAATTGAGAAGATTTTTACCTTCAAAAGCTTGATTATGAAGTGAAACGATCAAAACTTTAGCAATTGAGCTTCAAACCTTCAAATCAACATGAAAATGGAGAGAAATCTCCAAAGGAGAGCTCCAACTTCATATTTTTCATATATATATATATATATATATATATATATATATAGAGAGAGAGAGAGAGAGAGAAATTAAATATCCTCCTACTTTTTGTTCCTACAAATCTTCCTACCCAATTAAATGATGACACGTGTCACATTTAATGTTCATTAAATTATATTTTAATATACTAAAATAACACATGTTAACATTTAATTGGGTAGGAGTATTTGTAGGAACAAAAGTAGGAGGATATTTAATTTCTCATATATATATATATATATATATATATATATATATATATATATATAGAGAGAGAGAGAGAGAGAGAGGAAGGATCATTTGAGAACTCAAAGTTTCCCGAGAACCCGAGAACCAAACGAAGGCCGTTAGATCAAAATAATTAAAGGTTAGGATGATTTATGGCATTTTCGTAAATAACAAAGGGAAAAAAGAGGCGGGGGCATCTTATTCCACATGAATCAGGGGCATTTTAGAGACAACATAATATACCGTCTCAGATGCCAGATCTGTTCCTGGTTCAAATCAGAAGACAAGATGGAGATCAAAAATCTAATCGGCGACCACCTCCTTCGCTCTCCAGAAAATCGACGCCAAATCCTCCTTCTCCGCCACACATTCTCTCATCCTCACCGGAGATCCATATTCGTCTCATCTCCGACCTCAATCACCATCGATTTTGCTACAAACGGTGTCGTTTTGACTTCGTCGGATGGTGTTGGTTGCCTCTGCCTCCATCTGATTATGGAACTGTCTTTGTCTCACCTCTGCCATAAATCTCTCTCAGCCTATCGTTGCCTCACGCCCTCACCTCTTCAATTTCAGTTACAGTTAATACCAAAAACTTGGGGTTTGCAATTGTTTTCTGTCCACGATTTCAATCTCGTGTTAGGATTCTAAATCAAAAGAATCAACATTTCAGATACTATCTTCAACAGCGATGGAGCTCTCGATGAAGTTCGTCTCAAGTAAAAAGCATCTGTCATAGCTCTCTGTTATGTTCTCAGTGATATTCCTAATTCTAAAATGGTAATGTTTCCGATTTTTCAATTATATTGTAATTTTCTCTTTCTTTTTTAAGTATCTGGTCTATTGATTCATCTATCGATCCAGTAGATATGGAAACGATCTTCCAATCGCATTTGAGGTTCACTTCACTAGCCGATCAACTGTGACGGCTTATTGAGGAGTTTCAGGGCGGCGATTTCATATATTGAGGGTATATCGGAACAAGTTATTCACAAAAGGCATCTGATTATTGCAACAATTCACCAACTCTGATCTCTCCAATTTCGATTATGTTTCAAATTGTATCATCTTTTGAATTTGGTCTTCTGGTAGGTATTTATAACCTCTTCCTAGCTTTTCTCGATTTATGAGTTCAAACTTTTGTTTATAGTTCCAATTCGGTAAATTAGTTTTTGATTTTGTATAAATATATTCGTTCATAGATGTTTCTCTTATGATGGCAACTATTTCTAGGCTATTATTTATGCGACTGTAAGGCCATTTATGAAGAGTATATTTCTAAGAACTACGAGAATGGTGGCTGAGCTGTAGTGGCTGGAACTTGTGTGTGTGTGTGTCCAGAGATGATATGGTAAAATTATATGGCTTTTTTATTCTATACATCTTAAATATGGATCATGATATGAATTTTTTTGGATATTGGTGATGATCTAACATATATTCTTGTTGCTATTAATTCTTTCTGACAGTTAAAGAGATTTCAATTTAATAATTATGTCCAAACGGGTGGTAATTACAGGTAAGGCTTTGCAGAAATTATTTAGATTACTTTGTTTTGTATTAATACGATATGATGTTGGTCCTAATAATTTTTTATTTGACATGGATCTTGTTGTAGGAGTTATGCTAGTGTTGTTTCTGCAACTCTTCCTCCATTCGGCTCCTTTGAAAATCACATAAATCGGATGACAATCAATTTAAGTGGACAGAGTGTGGAAGATGGAATTTATTATTTGAAAAAGCACCTTATATTTGGTGTGTATTGTGGAAGTAAGCACCTTATTTACGCATTGTGTTTTGAAACGTCTCCCAATCATAGCATTTTGCTTTCAGTTTTTTCCTTATTATGACACTATACTTTCAAAAGTCTGCCCAATTATAGCAGTGAAAATTGCTTTGTATTAATAGGAAGAAACGAAAGTAGGATGCTATGATGTACAAATCAATGGAAGTATGTTGCTATGTATTGAAGTTAACCCAACAACAAACATGACATCATTATCTTAAACCCTGAAAAACTCGGTATCTTTCTTGGAGGCTCTTCTGGTTTTCCACCATCATCATCCACCACAATAGTCCAGGCACCAATGTCAGCACCAGCACTTGCTGTCCTTCTATGCCCTGAAACTTTGCTCTCATGTTTCTCATCAAGGTATTATACTTTTGAAGGAAGCTTTTGATTCTGAATTTTATTTCTTGCATTTGGTATTGAATTTTCTTGTGTCTGGTGATATTTCTTTCAACCAATATTTCTAACGGACTATCTGTGGCTGGGGGCATTTATGGTATTATACAGGCTGGGCACATCAGATAATTTATTGATTTCAATTCAAGACAAGATAAAATGGGCAGACACGATGAGTGAATTGGACAAGAAACATAAAAAAGAGAATGAAGAAAGACTGGAAGAAGTCAAGAATGCACTCTCTCTCAAGGTCAGCACAGTAGCACTATTCCTTTTAATTTTCTTATCTATGTAAAATATAAGATAAGGTCTTGATAATATTTCTGTTGTGTCTAAGTTCTGAAATGAATATTTTTTTTGTGTGTGTGGGGGGGGGGGGGAGATGGAAGAGTGAAAATAGGAATGATTTGTTTTTGGATATTTTTGTCGATATGTGTTACTTACATGTGGTAGAAGTTACAAACTGAATTCCAATCAACAAATTTTTGGTTATCTATCATTAGATAGTTTTAATCGTTTCACAAATATAAATGAATGTTTGGATTACAATTTTTAAAAAATCCAATAAGTCATTTTTTATAAGAGACTCAATCTTATTTCACTACATTTAAGAATTGACCAAAATATCCTTTTAACATAATAAAAACTTTTCGTTCCTATGCTTCCAGACAAGAAAAACTCGCAGCAGCCTCCCTTCTTCTCTCGTCGCCTCCTCAGGCGATTCCCGATTACCTGCCGTCGATAGCTCACCGCTGACTTCTATCGCCGGATACCGTCGCACCCAACAGCACCGACGACCGTTGCATACCACAGATTCTATTCGATTCAAGTGCGATTTTCTTAATCCTGCTTTCGTTTAACTGTGCCTGCTCTAGATTTTCCTTTTCCCCTGATTTCAGTTGAAATCGAAATCATATGTGTTTGTTGAAATCGAAATCTGTATGATGTCTGCAAATTTTAGATGTATGCGTTACTGTTTTCGTTCAACCGCATTCAATTGCATGCTCTCGAGTTTCCTTTTCCCCCTGATTTCAGTAATCGAAATCATATGTGTTTATTGCCTGCTGTCACTGCAATGGTTATTGTAAATGCATATCATCGTTTGATTACAAACGAAGTTTACTATAAAATATTATGTGTTGACTATATCTCTGTTTAATGAGAATATGTTTCGGAAAAAGTGTTTCCAAATTAACTCATTTCAGCATTGTAATGATATGACAGTCAAAGCATGATGAAAAATGATCGTAGTTAATTATATGCATTTACAATAACCTCTCTCTCTCTCTCTCTATATATATATATATATATATATATATATATATATATTTATCTTACGTGACTTTCAAAAGTAGTATTATGTCTAACAATCAAATAAAGTATTGTGTTATACAAATTATCAAACACCTAAATCAACTAACAATTAAAATTCTCAGTTTTGGACCCAAAACAGCCACTGTTTAAAGCTGTTTTAGCACACTTGAAACCTGTATAACTTCCGTTTTTATTTCATATTCCAGAAGTTAAGACTTTTATCTTTTCAGAATGTACTTTTGAAGGTCCAAACGATTTTTCTAAAATTTTATATGATTTTTACAAAACTGCCTATCAATGCAGCTAAATTCTGACCAGCTGGTGAAAAATGTGATTTTCACCTAAGTTAGAAGCAACAAAAGGTTATGGAAAAATTATTGGATAAACTAGATTCAAAATGGAAACTTTGAAAAGTTTACGGATCATTAATTCGATTCCTAGTGATTTTTCTATAATTTTTCCAATACAGGGACAAATTTGTAATTTTTGCTGAATTTTCCAGCTTTGGATTTCAAAGGCTTTTTGACCACTTAACACATTAAGCCATCACTAAGAACACCCATAAGGGTAAAAATTAGCCTCTTAACATACGTGGCATGTCAAACAATAAAAATATCATCCCACTCACAACCCACTCATCAAGGTACAAAATATTTGGTGGAAAACAAAGTAGGTTGCACAAATAGGAACTTTGATTTCTTCCACCACCAATTCTCATAGAAGGACTTTGAAAGATTGTTTTGAGGCTTATTGAGTGACTCAAAACATGATTTAATCTAAACAAACAACAACAAAATCATGAGCACTCTTGTATTTATTTCTTTTCTTTCTCTGTCTCTATTGTTGGTTTGTGAGTATGCAGAAAGCAATGTTTCTGACTCCTTGGACATGCGTGAGGATAAAAGTTTAAAAATAAAAGATGATTCTGACTTGCCATCATGGTCAGGTGATGAACATGGTGTCAGGGTTCTTATGAATGTTGATAGCTTTGGTGCTGTTGGAGATGGAGTTTCTGATGACACAAAGGTGAATATACATATATAGTCTTTCTTGAGTGTATTGGTGGAGTCATTGAGGGGATTCTTTTTATTTTCATGTATGTTACATAACAGGCCTTTGGAGATGCATGGAAGGAAGCATGTTTTATAGATTGCATTCACGGGAAGCAGTGCAATATATAATGATATATGCATGAGAACTCAACTGTAAAAATGGAAGAACAAGACTCGGAAGAAGAACAAGGATCTCCATGTGGATATGATTCAAAGTGTCATCCAACAACTCTTCTATCAGGTCAATCATAATTGATAATGGTTCATGTTCGAATTTTCTTGAATTTTTGTATTTGTCTGAATCATGGTGTGACGGTTATAAGTAAATCACATGTAATTCATATGTGAATTACATGTGATTCACATGTAAATCACAAGTAAATCACATATGAATTACATGTGATTCACATGTAATTATGAATTACATGTGATTCACATGTAAATCACATAAGAATTACATGTGATTCACATATAATTCACACATGATTCATATGTAAATCACATGTAATTCACATATGAATTACGTGTGATTCACATGTAAATCACAAGTGATTCAGATATGAATTACATGTAATTCACATATGAATTACATGTAATTCACATATGAATTACATGTAATTCACATATGAATTACATGTAATTCACATATGATTCACATGTAAATCACAAGTGAATCACATATGAATTACATGTGATTCACATGTAAATCACTAGTGAATCACATATGAATTACATGTGACTTACATGTATATAATATCTAATTCACATATGAATTACATGTGATTCACATGTAAATCACATGTAATTCATATATGATTCACATATAAATTACATATAATTTACATATTAATCACATATAATTCACATGTAAATCACAAGTTAATCACATATCAATTACATGTGATTCACATGTAATCACAAGTGAATAACATATGAATTCATGGGATTCACATGTAAATCACTAGTGAATCACATATGAATACGTCATATGCACACATGCATTTTGTGTGAGTGGTCTTTGGTAATTATTTTTTTTTTTTATTTTCTTGTGAATTTCACATTTGAATCTTAAAAAATACAATCAAATGTGAATATCATATTATATAATCA